TCATATTTAGGAGTTTCCCTGAATCCCCGAGATGGCTTTTGGCATGCGGAAAATTTGAAAAAGCAAAACCAATTTTATTAAAAATGGCGAAAGTAAACGGAAAAGATATTTCTTTGGATTATATGGACCAATTGAAGGTATATTGATTATATTCAATGTTTTTTTAAATAAACACATATACCTATGTATGTTTTTATAATTTTATGGAAATAAGATTAAATATGAAAAGGAATTTAAAAATCAAAAAAGTAAAACAATTAAGAAATATAACGTGTTTCATTTATTCAAGACACCGAATTTACGTTTGAAAACAATATCAATAACTTTTATATGGTATTTTTTTTTTTAGTATTTATTAGATTTTTAATAATTATTTTAACTGTAATTATTTCTATGTATATTTTTCACTAAGGTTTGTTAACACAACTGTTTATGTTGGACTTTCTTATTATGCACCAGCTCTAAGTTCTGATGAACATTTAAACTTTTTTTTGGCCGGTGCTGTTGAATTACCCACATATATAGTATTATGGCCTGCGATGGAAAAATTTGGCAGAAAAAGTTTACTACTTATCAGCATGTTGATTGGAGGATGTGCTTGCTTAGCTGCTACTTTTCCCATTCTAGGTTTGCAAATAAACGAAATATACCTATCTACTTAATAACTATTATATGCTGATGACTTTAGAACTTTTTATATTTTATTTGCGTGTTATTTTTTTAGATGATCAGTGGACCTTGATAATGTTTTGTATCGGAAAAATGGGAATTTCGTCGTCTTATGTTATTCTTTCTTTATTTGCACCAGAATTATATCCAACTGTAGTTAGAGGTTTGGGAATTAGTGTTAGTTCAGTAGCTGGTATGATCGGACCTGTTGGACTTCCTGTCATTAATTATGTGGTAATAATTTATATTAAGTAATATCATATTATCATATGATAAATCAATTTTAAACTTTGAAAAAATATCAATTAGGGAATGGGCTCTCAATTATCACTCATTGTAATGGGTGCATTGCAAATAATTGGTGCGCTTGTTACACTTATTTTACCAGAAACGAAAAATTGTCATCTGCCACAAACTTTGGACGACGGAGAAAAGTACAAGTGATAAATAAATAATCACATTTACATTTATTTATGAAAATAATGAAATGTACATAATTTTAATTCTTCACTTGGTGTGCTTAATTTATAAATTGATCAAGTTATATTTTCTTTTACATTATATAAAAAGCCTTTTTTTTACTTATATAAGAAATTAAAAATATTATTTAATATACCGTTGTGTCATCAGCTATTTCAGTAAATCATTTTCACCTATTTCAGTAAATAGTATTGAAGTATTGGTATCAATAATATATTTTTATAATTTATTTAAAACATAAAATTGCCTCTTGATACAATCCTAATTCTAAATGGGGTGGGAAGGATTTATATTTACACAACTGGAATCTTTATAGGATACATTTTAACATTATTATTTTTTTAAACTAGATATCTTTTATAAAACAGGAGCCAAATGGGCCACGTCATATTCAATAATTTAGATTTACCAAGATCTCAGCTGCAAGTGTCACTATCAACCACGCCTTTCATAACTTTGATTTAATAATTCTCTCCCTTACACACTACTAACATGTAGAAGACCAAAAGCGTCTGCAACCCCTCACACTTATTACTATTTAACTGCCCTTATTTTTATGTACCAAATGCATAATTTTTTTCAGTTACCCGGATAATCTTTCTTAGCACTCCTTTTTAACCTCTTCCCAGCGTTAAATCTTAAGTGGTTATCAAAAAAATAATTTTTTCATATTAGATTATGGTTTTGTTTTTATATTAATTTTGTTTTATTTAAAATAACTGTAGAGCTTTTATAGTCACTGACTAAAAGCTTAACAAAAATAAAAACAGGTGCTGCTCTAATATGCAGATTAAAAATACATGCAGTCTACCATCATAAATGTAAACCACATACCTATCATAGCAGAAAAACATATTTATTTAATAAAAACGTACATCCACTAAATCACTAAAAGATGATATAAAATTGGTCAGATAAAATGTTCTGATATAATATATATATCATATCTTCTATTTTTCAACTATGTTTATAATTATTAAAAGTTGAAATTGTTGATACACCTAACGACCTAGCCTACTTACAATTATTACTGTGCTACTTAATAAGTTTTTTAGTAAGTAGTTACGTATTGGTTATCGATTGTGTTGTACTGCGTTTATATTTGTGTCCATTTTGTATATCGTGTATTCGTGTGCATTACCTATGCAATTAAAAGATCTTTATTTGACTGTCTCATCAGAGTGAAGAGAATGCCACTGCGTTTTTAAAGGAGCGCGGTTTATTAGATACTGTAGAAGAAACATTTCCATGTCATAAGTGTGGTTCTGAAATGGACAATGGTTTATGCTAAAAAACGAGATCAAGGAATGACTTTCATCCTGTGTTGTTCGGTGCAAAAAAAGGATGTCAGACCACGCGTAGTATACGGCATGCAAGGGAACGAGTTTTTTCTTTACGATTTGAACAATAGGTCTAATAGTAATTTCAAATGGGTGACATACGATTGCGCAGGGGCGTATTTAGATTTTTTTTTTTTTTGGGGGGGGGGCTGTGGTATTTTCTCCAACTGAAATTCCCAATTCAGCCTATATGAGTTAGAAAATTTACATCTGATAGGACATAATAAGTAGACTTCATAAAAAATTCCTGAATTTCGGGGAGGGAGGCTGAAGCCCCTCAGACACCCCCATAAATACGCCCATGCGATTGCGAATGGAATAATTGCGAACGGACCTTTTCCCGTATCACGATTGCGAACCTTTTTACCTGACTTTTTCCATACAGCGTTGCCAGATTCATTGTTAGTAAATTATATTTATATTATAAAATAAAATTTATATTATATATTATTTTAAGTCAGTTTGCAAAAATAATGAATATCAAGTTAATAAGTTTTTAATCTATCTGTAGTAAAATAAAAAGCGAGCAAGTAAGTTATTATAACGCTGTACATTAGGTGTCATTATAACTGCTGGCTGCCTTTCAACGCGGCACACGGGCCTTCTATGAAATGGTTGAAGATATTCTTAGATGCAAGAAGTAAGATGAGAGGCTAGCTGAGAACAAAGCAAGAGTTGCTCTAAACGACTGAGCTCCCTCCGGGAAATCAGCAGAACAGAATTCCAGGCCGACCCGTGCATGCGACACCGGGCTGGGAAATATGATCGACAAACGGGACTGCATGATGTCATGACCATCATTTACTATATTGTTTAGTAGGTATTAGGTGAAGAAGTGCAGAAGATTTCTGATTTTAACTACTTACGCTATGTATAGTCGTTTGTTAAATATTGTATTTAAATGTTTTAATTTTAAATGTTTTTCATTAATAAACGATGGCAGCGGAGGATTGGTAATGTGCAAACTGACCCTCATCTGCTGTCGGTTCTAAATCGGGGGAAAAAATKGTGTCATTATAATGAATCTGTTAAATTTGAATTTAATTATATAAAATCAATGTATACGAAAACCGAGCATGATCAAATCATTAACTTACACGCAGCATTGAAAATTTGAATATTTTATACATTTTAACCATAAAATAATTAGTAAATTTTGAATTTATTAAATGTTGTTAAATTGATCTTTAAAAGCTTATAAAAAAATTGTACCTATATATTTAATCTTTTCAACTGTTATCATAACAAAATATCAGGAACTTTATATTAAACTTGTGAATTTTTTTACCCTGCAATGAACAAAAATATATTGACATCTATTAGGAAAAAACTAAAAAAATTTAAATATCCGGAATCAGCTCAAAACGAGTCAAAACATTATGAACATTTTACCAAGTATCAGATATGATAAAACAAATATTTTGTGTAAATTTCATGAAATTATCTAAGGTATTTAGAATTACACCAAAATTCTTATTTTCCAAATATTTTTATCTCATAGACGCTTTTGAAAACTACTAGGAATTTGAAATTTTTACATGCCGAATACACCAACTAGAGTCTCTTTCATTAAGTTGAATGTGCTACATATAATTTATTATTCTTACAGTCGGCAGTTATTTTTTACAGACAATTCAAATTTGGAATTTTTAGTTTTTAAAAACCAAGCTTGATGATTTTATAGATATTTTATTGTAATTTAAAAACATTATTCGTGGGTACTAGAAATTTAAAGAGTCAGATACCTACATTGTTATATATTTTTATACACGAAAATCACAGTGACATTTTCAAATTAATCTTTTTATGGAAGAAGTGCCTACTGTAGAGCTAATGCCTAAAATTTAAATAAATTACCTACTTAAATCACAATATCATCATATTATAGATTGATAGTCCCAGTCTTTGCTTAGAATCGTTTTTCGTAGGTATTTAATGATTTTTTGTCATCGAATTCTAATTAACATACCTGTTATACTGGCCAATGATTCTAGTACTGTATCTATGTATCTATGTATCTACTGTATCTATAATGTACAGCAGACCGTTACCTGTCCACTTTTTAATTTTTAATTTTCACATATACATAAATATTATATAAATTTATACTATACTTCGGGTTTATTCATTTATTATTGCTGACTTTATATAATAAATACTAATATAATAATATGATTGTATCTCTTGTTAGGTTATTAGGCACAGGTAAATTGCTTATCTTCATTATTTTTAATAATTACAAAATAACTGTAAGTTAATAGTTAATTATAACTATTACTATAGATAATATATTATCTATCAAATAAGAACCTACTCACCAAGTTAATGATAGTTCAGTATTTATTTATTGAACTCTTATTTACTTTTACTTTTTATTTCCTACTTAGTGATAACTGTTTTAATTAGTTGGGTGTTACACCTTATTTCAGTAGGTAGTTGTATTTAATTTGTTTTCATTATATTATACTATATTATATTATATTACAATTTGGTTCGATCATTATTATTTTTAGTAGATATTTTTATTTAATTATTAGGCAGGTAATTATTAATATTGATATAATATAAATTATTAGTCATTTTRTAAAAATAACATTGCAATTTGCATAGTATATTTCATAATACTCACAACTAGATTTTTATTTTTGCCTTTACAAAGCCTTCATAGATTGAGTAGTTGCAATGGCAAGTAAGTATTTTAATGTATTTATGAAAAATAAATAGATTAAGTGATATCTGTTACGGTATTAAAAAACTAATTTTATATGTTGAATACTACCTAGATTGTAAAAATCAATGTGGACCCGGTTACAAAAGTCCCTTAGATGCATATATTAATGGCAAACGTGAAACAATTTTGTATACTATTTGTATTCAACCAAATGCATTAACAAAAAAAAAATCAGATTATTTGGCCACTATTGATGTGGACCCAAATAGTCCTACATATTCTCAAGTAACAATAACAATACATTTTGTGTTGCATCTTAATATGAATATTATTTATATGTACCAACATTTTGTTACTTACAGGTAATCTTTAGGACAAGCGTAGAACATATTGGTGATGAACTACATCATTTTGGATGGAACACTTGTAGTAGTTGTTACGACGATTGTACAAAAAGCCGAAATAAAATTATTTTGCCTTCTTTAGGATCAGATCGAATTTACATTTTGGATGTAACAGATGTAAAAGCTCCTAAATTACATAAGGTTATTAAAATAATTACTTAATGTTTAACAGTTGATGCCACATTAAAACGCAGATTAGTAAATTATTTTTTTACTTTGATTTGATAGACTATTGAACCAAGTGAAGTCCATGCTTTAAATGTATCAACTTTACATACAACTCATTGCTTACCTAATGGCAATGTTATGATTTCAACGATGGGCGATGCTGATGGTAATGGGAAAGGTGATTTTTTATTGATAGATGCTGAAAAAGGAGTAATTAAAGGTAAATAAAAATTCAATAAAATTGAGTCTTATGTACCATTTTAATACAAATTATAAAAACTGCCAAACATTTATGTATGTACCTATATKGCTATATAAGCAATGTTTGGAAAGTTTGCTAGAAAATGAATTTGTTTACATTCATGTTTGTGTTCTTATCAAACGAACACGTTCATGTTCTTTGAAACATTGAGTTCATTAGGTTGTGCATTTAATTTTTTTTTATGAATAGTTTACCATATCAGCGTCCAGCAGTTAATATAAACACCCATAAACATATAGGACTTAACCAAAAAATTAAAATATAATTTAGACTTTAGAGCATGTAYATTCTTTAAAGTATCTAAATTATAGACATATATTTATGAAATAGTAAATCAATTGAGCGTCTCACAAATTGCTCAAATTCATTAAAAATATTAACGTCRTTCACATTCACATTCTATTTGGAAAAAAAATGAATGATGTTGTGTATCATTCATTAATTATGAATGTGCGTTTGTGAACAACTTTCTTTCCAAACACTGCCTATAAGGCTATTTATTATTTATTTATTTAACTTTATTAACAACTGTAGAAACATGGACAAAAGGTGACACTGCAAAATTTGGATATGACTTTTGGTATCAACCATACTGGAATGTTTTAGTATCATCTGAATGGGGAACACCTAAAGACTTCAAAACTGGTTTTATTGCTGATCATATTAACGACATTGGTATTTACAATGTTTATATAATAATTTATTTATTTAACACAAAGTTATAATCTTAAATGTTTATAAAATAGAGAAATATGGAAGGTCCATTAATTTTTATTCTTGGTCTGAGAGAAAATTATTGCAGACTATTGATTTGGGTATTGATGGCATAGCTCCTTTAGAAATACGATTCTTACACAATCCTAAAGCATCAGAAGGATTTGTTGGTTGTGCAGTAAATAGCACCATTTTTAGGTATTAATAATTGGCCTATCTCCCAATATGCTGTATACCACTGTTTTGTATACTACCTAAAAAATAAATATAAGTACCTTAGTACCTACCTAAAGTATGTAGTCTAACCAGGCCCGTCGCTAGGGTACAAGCAAGCCATACGTTGCTTTAGAGCGGCATAACATTTTAAAAAATTGAGGCGTCAAATTTTAATATTAAATTTCCAAAAAAGACAGAAATTTAATTATTATTTTTATTCGCTTTAGGGCGGAAATTGTCTTACGACGGGCCTRAGTCTAACAATGTGTTGAGTTCATTTATAGCTAGCTAAGATATCTCTATTTGTATATATTATTTTTCATTTTTAACCACTATGCTTTTTTTCTTTATACATTTCATTGTATATGTTATAAAATCAACAAAATTTTAATTTGTAATTATAACCTAATACAGGGGTCACTAAATGGTGGCCCACAGACAAAATTTACCCAATCYGCAAACAAGAAAAAACTAGTAAAAAGGGTTGTTGTAATTTATAATTGTTGTTCAATGGTTTTTTCACTATCTGTAATTTTGATARCCAGTGAACAATTTCTATATACCCAATCTGGTCCTTCAAAACTATAAATTGGTGAACTCTAGATYATAGTTTATAGGTACCTACCTAACTAAAGTTTAGTTTGTTWACAGTTGATTTTTGCATGTTAAAGAGAGTTATTTAGACTATTATAGTAGACTATAATCAACCTTTAAAAATGCTTATCAAAGATTTGCATACTTTATATTATGCTATGATTTTAACCAAAGAACCGACAGTTATATTAGTTATTACTTATTAATMATAATTACCTACCTATATGGCTGTATCGCCTGTATCAATGTTTTAATTTTTTAAATAATTTATAAAAACATAATATTTTTACTTTATTTAATCTATGTAAAATCACTGAAATGAATCAAATTTATATTGTAGACAGTATTTTCTTTATTAATACAGTTCACAGTATCAGTTCATTGGTAGGTATATTGGGAGATATATGCCAATAAATTTTAACAATTCACATTACATCAGGATATATATACATAAGTTGTACAATTTTATAAATTTAAAATGTTTGAAGATTTTTTCGCACTGATGATGGTACCTGGGAATCCGAAAAAGTGATATCCGTGCCTAAGAAAACTGTAAAGGRTTCTAATGGATTAAATGAAATTTCCGGTATATTATATTGATTAACAAATACTCAAGTAAAGTTTAAAAAATAAAAATATTGGTTTATTATTTAAGGYATGATCACAGATATTCTGATATCATTGGATGATAAATATCTATATTTTTCTAATTGGTTGCACGGAGATGTCAGGCAGTATGATATAACAAATACCAGCAAGCCTAAACTAGTTGGCCAAATATTTTTAGGCGGACAATTGTTGAAAGATGGATTATTAACTGTTGTAAAAGACTCTGAGCTCAATGTATGTATTTTTAAATGATAACAAGGATATTATAAGTAGGTAAGTAAATTTATTGATTTATAGGAACAACCTGAACCTGTATATATCAAAGAAAGACGTTTATTTGGTTCACCTCAAATGCTCCAGTTAAGCTTAGATGGAAAAAGGCTATATGTAACTACTTCTTTATTTACGCCATGGGATAAACAGTTTTATCCAGAATCGGTGAWGTAAGTTTATTATTAATTCTTTGGTAAAAAATACAATATGTCTTGGTATCTTATAGAATCTCTATAACTTTGAAGAAATAGAACAAATATTCCTCTAAAATTTTAATTAGATGTCTTCATACCTTGATATTGGTTAACACAATTATAAGAGTTTCATTTACCACTAAACGTATTGAGTCATAKAATTTATACATTTTCTGTAGTATAATTAAGTAATTACCTATTTACATATACATATAAGTAATTTGAATCTAGGACAAAATATCCAAACCAAAATATCCAACGGTCAAAATACTTAAAATATCCAAATTTTACGTAAATTAGTAGATTACACTTTACTTTCTAATAACATTAACTCCTAAATATATAAATTACGTTAGTAGTATAATAATTATAATATAATATCACAAAATATACAGCACAAAYATTAGTCAAATAGTCAAATAATATAAAATAAAATGTAAAACAATTTGTTTTTATGAATACAGGAATAATTTGCTAAAAAAATGATTACCTACACTATTTTCTAAAAATTTAAAAATGTTTAAAAAAAAATGTGCGTGTATGTATACTGCGCGTC